GAAAGCCTTGAAAACTTGGAAGAAAAGTTATTTTCAGCCTGATATTCTCTCAGGCAAGATCCAAAAGTTTGCCTCCTATGTATGCTTTCTTAAGATGTTACCGGAGAACGTGTTTCTACAAAAAAGAAAGCAAAGCCAGAAAAAGACATGGGATATAAGAAAAGAGCTCCTGCCAGGAGAGATGGGGAGAGGATAACCAAGCCTCGGCCAGGTATCAGGCCAGACTGAAGCAAGAGGGAGAGGAAGAGAGGGAGAGGGGAGCGGTCTCCAGAGGTGAAACAAAGAACTCGGCAGACGGCTCACAGACCGGTGGAGTACTTGTAATTTAGCCGTACATAGAAAACTAATCAAATGAAACCCAAAGTAGTATTGACCGCAGGAAAGACAACATGTACAAGAAGAGACATAATCATTTTACAGACGAGACTCAGCAGTGAACCATATTTCACAATCAGAAGAAATCACTGGAAATACAGATCATGCATTTAGAAATTAGGCCAAAAGGAGGATAAGTAAGGCAAAGGGGAGAGAAGGACATGTGGGGAGATCGAAAAACATCTAAGTCTTTACCTCCCATAAAAGACAGTTTTGAATAATGTCTTAAATTAATACACTAAGAAATAGCTGTGTAGGAATATAATTTTTAAGTTTGGAAATACAAATGAGAATCAACAGCACAAAAGCATTGGAAGTGACTGCCCAGGAGCAGGTAGGGTTAGGGAAGGGAACAGCTATTTTTCGTTAGAAATACTTTGATACTAGTGCAAGCAAAATTTTTAGAGTACTTATACAAACTTGATATTTTAAAAAAATGACTTGAAATCAACAAATGGCAAGTGCTGGTGAGGATGTGGAGAAAAGGGAACCCTAGTACACTGCTGGTGGGAATGCAGACTGGTGCAGCCACTGTGGAGAACAGTATGGAGTTTCCTCAAAAAAGGAACTCCCATTTGATCCAGTGATCCCACTTCTAGGAATATATCTTAAGAAATCTGAAGCACAAATCAGAGAGAATGTATTCACCCCTATGTACATAGCAGCACAATTTAAGATTTGGAAACAGCCCAAGTGCCCATCGGTAGATGAGTGGATAAAAAAGCTGTGGCTCATTTACACCATGGAATACTATGCAGCAGTAAAAAAGAAGGATCTCTTACCCTGTGAGATAGCAAGAAGGAACCTGAAGAATATTATGCTAAGCAAAATAAGTCAGTCAGAGAAAGGCAAATATCACATGATCTAACTCGTATGTGGAATCTAATGAATAAAATAAACAGATGAACGGAGTGAATCTAGAGACATGGAAGCATGGAGGGAAGGCTGGGGAGGGTGGGTGGGAGGTAATCAACCAAAGACCTGCGAAGCATATATGCATACTGGTAACCCATGGACACAGACAATAGGGTCGTAAAGCCCTGGGGTGGGGGGTGAGGGCGGGCTGGAGGGGGTCAATGAAGGAAAAAGGGGGACAAATACTTTCAACAATAAAGGATTATTTTTAAAAATGGTTTAAGAAGAGCAATTAAGGCCTAGTAGCACTTATTTTGAGGAAATTTTAAAATAAATTTTAGCAATTCTGCAAATTTTAAGTAAAATTATATTTCTTTTAAATTTAGTAAGTATATAGAATTATTGGTATATGCATAAATATACATCTCTCCTCCTTTGGTACTTAATTTAGATCATAAAGGGGCTTCTTCACATGCATTCTCTAATCCAGGCATCTACCAAGTGGTTGCTCCATTGAACACACCATCTTGCCTGCCACTCCCAGCAACTCTGAGGTCCTCTTTCCACCACCGTTGGTCACCATCAGGAAATCATGGGCTGTCTTTGCAGGAGAATACTGTTGCTGCCACACCTCAAGGAACACCACACATTTCTTTAGTTGGAATACCACTGCACAGAATTTATCTTGACTTATTACATTTTAATGGTAGGATCAAGGGTAAAAGAGATGTGGGCTGTTAATAACAGAAAAATAACCCGGGAGGTGAGGATGTAGAAAATTGAAACCCTGTGCACTGCTGGTGGGAATGTAAAATGGTATAGCTGCTGTGGCAACAGTTTGGTGATTCCTTAAAAAAGTAAACATAGGGGGGGAAAAGTAGACATGATATTACCTTATGATCAAGCAATTTCACTTCTGAGCATACCCCTAAAAGAATTGAAACAGAGACTCAAAGAGATATTTGTACACCCATGTTTATAGCAGTATTGTTCACAGTAGCCAAAAGTGTATACAGCTCAAGTGTCCATAAACAGATGACTGGTTGAACAAAATGTGACATGTATATGCAATGGAATATTATTCAGCCTTAGAAAGGAATGAAATTCTGATAGATGCTGCAACAGGAGAGTGAAATAAGCCAGACTCAAAAGAATAAAGACCATACGATTCCATTTATATGAATGATTTAGAGTAGACAAATTCATAGATTTAGAAGTAGAACAGAGGTTATCAGGAGCTGGTGGAGGAGCAATGGGGAGTTAGTGGTTGATGAAGACAGAATTTCTGTTGGGTTGTTGAAAAAGTTCTGGAAATGCATAGTGGTGATGGTTGTATAACATTGTAAATGTACTAATGCCACTGAACTATATATCTAATGTCATATCTTTTTATTACAACTTTAAAAGAAGAAATGTAAGATGAGAACTTTTCCTGGATGGGATGGTTCCCATTGTAGGTGTTCTGTCATTTCTATTCTTCTCCACTGCTTTCAAGAGTCTTCTCCAGTCTCCAGCAGTGCAAATTGCCACTTACTTTGAGTAAACTTCACTCCCTATCTACTCACCTTGCTGCTGCCCCAGAATTTACTTCCCACCCTGTCAGTCAGCTATGCTGCATAACAAAAATCTCGGTGGCACACAGCAACCGATGCCTCTTCTCTCTTAGTGTTTGCCAGGGAGCAACGGTTTGATTGGTCAACCATAATATTGATGGTGATCCAGTCAAGGTACAGGACATTTCTGTTACCTAAGGATCCTCATGGTGTTCTGTTATGGTCACACATATTTCTTTCCCACTCTCACCCCTTCCTTAACCCCTGACATATCGTTGATATCTTGATAGGAATTGCACTTAATCTATAGATTGCTTTAGGTAGTATAGATATTTTACTGATGTTAATTTTTTATATCATGAGCCCAATATAAGCTTTTATTTATTTGTATTTTCTTCAATTTCTTTCCTCAATGTCTTAAAATTTTCTGAGTATGCATCTTTTACCTCCTTGGTTAAATTTAATGCTATGTATTTTATTTTTCATACAATTGTAAATAGGATTGTTTTTTTAATTTCTGTTTCTGATAGTTTGTTATTGGTGTGTAAAAATGGAACCAATTTTGAATTATTACTTTTGTATTCTGCTACTTTACTAAACTCATCAGTTTTAATAGGTTTTTGGTAGAGTCTTTAGGCTTTTTTCTATATAATATCATATCACCTGCAAATAATGACAATTTTACTTCTTCCTTTGTCTCCCTGAATTTGAGTCCCATTCATTGTCTAGCACCATTCTTGCTCACAGTAAGTAAGTCCTGATGGGGTAGAACCAAGTCAGGTGCTCCTCGTTTCTTTTTCTTGTCTGATTGCTATGTCTCCCTGAATTTGAGTCCCATTCATTGTCTAGCACCATTCTTGCTCACAGTAAGTAAGTCCTGATGGGGTAGAACCAATTCAGGTGCTCCTCATTTCTTTTTCTTGTCTGATTGCTATGGCTAGGACTTTTAATACTATCCTATATAATAATAGAGGAATATGCAAATTGCCCATTACTCTGTAATGTCATGACAAATTGCAGGAGGCTGCCAGCACATGCGTGCTGGGGCCTTGCCCTGGAGACGGGGTGTTAGCAGGGAGTTGCCCAAAGTTGGCTGGACCATCCTGTGTTGGGGGTGTGAGGGTAAGAGCCCATAGTGCCCCCTCACTAGTCCTTCACCACCCACAACTCTCACTTAGAGTGCCCCGCGGCCCACCTGCCGGGGGAAGGAGCACAACACAGCAGGCGGGAGGCTCTCCTCTGGAGCCGCCACATTGCTCCGGAGACAAGGCAGAATCGGGGAGGTGCCTGGAGAAGGCAGGACCAGCCCTAGGTGACTCGAGGGACTGAGGGCGGGGCATGAAGCAGCCAGAGAAGGCCAGGGCAGTCAGGGACTGTGCGAGGTGCACTGGAGCTCTGTGTGGAGAGGTTTGGGTGTCAAGGCATGGCGGGGCTGCTTGATTTCGCATGCTGGGCTCCTACAGTTTAATAAAAGTGTTGAAAGTGAGTATTCTTGTCTTGTTCCTGATCTTAAGGAAATACATTTAGCTCTTCACCATTAAATATGGTGCCATATATGGCCTTTATTATGTTGAAGTATGTTCTCTCTATTTCCATTTTGCTGAGAGTTTTATAGGGTTTTGTTTTGTTTTGAGAATTGAATAAGCCAATGTATGTGAAAGGAATCTGTAATATTATAATCATATACTCTGTAAAAAGTAAAGAGGGAGTTTTATTTGGCTATCTGGTTAGTTGTTCATTCATTCACATATTTTTTAAGTCTTAGGTACAAATGAAAGAATGAAGCCTTGCTTTGCAAACTCACTCTAGGAAGAGCTAGGAAGCCAGGACTGTGTGACAATTTTTCCTCAGCCCTCCCATTCAACTCCTCCCTGCAGTCAGCTTTCCAAGCCTGAAAAAATAAACACAGTTGGAGTGGAAGGCACAGAATAATAGTGAGTTGTCCAGAGAGCAAATAGCTTGTTGGGATGGAAGCCTTTATAAGTTTAGGGCAAGATTTGCAGCAGACAAGCTGCAGATTGCTGTTCTGAACTCCTTCCTTGAAGTGACTGCCTGTACCTCACTATGGACTAGCAGCTTCCTGCAGGCAGGGCTTTGTCTCCCTGAATTTGAGTCCCATTCATTGTCTAGCACCATTCTTGCTCACAGTAAGTAAGTCCTGATGGGGTAGAACCAACGTAGCTGCAATGATGAGCACTCTCGGTTTTGGACTTGCAGGTCGGAGCCCTCCCTGGACTGTGCGATGTGCTGCGGGTGCTGTGGGAGGAGCGGGACAAGTGCCTGCAAGAACTCTCTGCAGAGAGGACAGGAGACCGTGGCACCCAGCCGCCAGCCCCAGGTGCGTAGCCCACCTTAGTCCACTCCAGACATGGATCATGTCCGGTCCCACTGTGTCGGGGAAGCTGGGCCTCTGGACCAGGGTGGGGATGTAGGGGCTGGGCTGTATTCATTCAGGCAATCAGCTCGTAATCCATGTATGCACACCCAAAAGCCGGATTATCACCATTCTTTCTTTCTCTGAGCTTGTGCACATAGCCAAGGCTTTTGTATCATTAACTTCTGCATGATTACCTCACCAAGTTTGGTAAGAATTCCTTGTCAAGGCAGTGTACCTCTCGTCCATTCTCTCACCTCTAGGGCTAGTTTGATGAGTGAGGTAGTCAAAATGGCAAGTTGGGGTTAGAAAAACCTGGGGTCTCTGGTGTGCGACCATGGACAAGTTATCTAACCATATGGCCACAGATTCCTGGTCTATAAAGTGGTTGTCTACTTTAGAATTTTAATGATACATGAGAGAAAATATGTTAAATATTATCAATTTAAATATTAATTCTTATTACTAATCAAGACTTTAAATATTATTAATTTCATATTTAAATGTTAATTTTATTTCTAGTCCCTTCCTTAACATATCTTCTTTGCTTTCCCTCATATAAGGTTAAGGAAGGCTTGCATTAAGAAAACTATCTATTTATTCAAGTAAAAACTTGTACACATATGTTCATAGTAACACTAGTTACAATAGCCCAGAGATAGAAACAATCCAAATGTCTGTCAGCTGATGAATGATAAACAAAATGCATGCATGTCCAATGGAATATTACTGGGTCTTAAAAAGGAATGAAGTAGTATGGCATGGATGCATAGTATGGCATGGATGAATATTAAAACATGTTAAGGAAAAGCAAGTTATAAAAGATCATGCATTATATGTTTCTATTTATATGATATGTCACCTTTAGGCAAATCTTTAGAGACAGAAATCAAACTTACATTTAAATATTTAATCTGTTTTAAGCTTATTCTTGTGTATGATGTAAGCTGGTAGTCTAGTTCCATTTTTTTTTTTGAGTGTACCTGTCTAATTTTCCCAACACCATTTATTGAAGAGATTGTCTTTATTCCTTGTTTGCTCTGCCTCATTTGTCAAATATTAATCAACCATAAAGGAGTCAGTTTATTTGTGGGCTCTCTGTTCTGTTTCATTAATTTATATGCCTGCTCTTGTGTCAATTGCAGGGTGTTTTGATTACGGTGGCTTTGTAGTATAGTTTGATATCTGGCATTGTGATTTCTCCAACTTAGTTCTTTCTCAAGATTGGGGTCTTTTTTTTTTTAAAATATATTTTATTGATTTTTTACAGAGAGGAAGGGAGAGGGATAGAAAGTCAGAAACATCAATGAGAGAGAAACATCCATCAGCCGCCTCTTGCACACCCCCTACCAGGGATGTGCCCGCAACCAGAGTGCCCTTGACCGGAATCAAACCCGGGTTCCTTGAGTCCGCAGGCTGACGCTCTATCCACTGAGCCAAACTGGTTTCTGCCTTTTTTAAAATTCCATATAATATTATATAATTTTTCTAGATCTGTGAGATATATCATTGATAGGAATTGCACTGAATCTATAGATTGATTTGGGTAGTATGGACATTTTAATGATGTTAATTCTTCCAATCCATGAACACAGAATATATCTCCACATATTTGTATCATCCTCAGTTTCTTTCCTCAATATCCTATAATTTTCCAAGTACAGGTCTTTTACCTTCTTAATTAAATTTATTCCTAGGTACTTTATTCTTTGATGTTGAAGTACTAAATGGGATTATTTTCTTAATTTCTCTTTCTGATAGTTCAGTGGTCGGCAAACTGCGGCTTGTGAGCCACATGCGGCTCCAGAGCTGTGGTTTGCTGCTCTGTTGACTAATGAGTTTGCCGACCACTGACCTAGACTCTTGATTCCAATAATTACAGGATGTTGTTATTCCTTGTAATTAAGACCCTATCCCAGTAGTCGGCAAACTCATTAGTCAACAGAGCGACAAACAGCGGCTCTAGAGCCGCAGTTTGCCGACCACTGTGATAGTTCATTATTGGTGTATAAAAGTACCACTGATTTCTGAATTAATTTTTTATCCTGCTACTATGTCAAATTTATTTATTAGACCTGGGGATTTTTAGTAGTTTCTATGTACAATATCATGTCATCTGTGAATAAGGAGTTTTCTTCCTCCTTTCTAATTTGGATGCCTTTTATCTCTTCTTTTTTGTCTGATTACTATGGCTAGGACTTCCAGTGCTATGTTGAATAAGAGTGGTGAAAGAGGACATCCCTGTCTTGTTCCTGATCTTAGAGGAATGCTTTTAGATTTTGCCTATTGAATATGATGTTGGCTGTGGGTTTGTCATATATGGGCTTTAATTATGTTGAGGTATGATCCCTCTATCCCCACATTGCTGAGAGTTTTTATCATAAACTATGGGCCCAGTGCATGAATTTGTGCACTTTGAAAGGAACTATGAGCCGCGAGGCTGTGGTGGGCACAGGGGTGGGTCTCAGCCCATCCTCCATGCCCCCTCCTATCCCTCCCACTGTAGCCCCCCAGTTCCCTGTCTGCTGGCAGCCCCCCTCCCACTGCCGCTCCCATGTGCTGATGATGCCGACCCTGCTCACACCTGCTGATGGTGTGGAGCGATTGGTGTGAGTGGGACCGGAACATCAGCAGGGTGTGAGCAGTGGCTGCTGCCCTGATCAGTCACTACTTGGACCTGCTGATAGCACTGAGTAATTGGGATCAGTGCTGGGCAATGGCAATGGGTGCTAGTGGTGGCTCAGGCACAACTTTTAAATAAGGTTGTTTAGTTTTTTTGTTGAGTTGTAGGAGTTCTTTATATATTCTTTATATATGCGGGTGCAAGCAGGGCTAGTGTTGGCAGTGGGTGTAAGCAACGGCTCCAGTGCCAGTAGTGGGTGCGAGTGGGGTTGTTGTTGGCAGTGGGTGCAAGAGGTGGCTGCTGGCCCCAATTGCACCTCAGGAGCAAGGGGAGGTGGAGAAGTCCTGAGGGATGATCGGGTCTGTAGCGGGTGTGAGTGGGTCCAGGTAAGAGCACCAGGTGGGACCATGGCACAGGGGCAAAGAATTTTCAGTAACCACCAATGGCTCCCTCCGATAACAGGGATTGGTCCCCTGCTTTGGTCTGGAGCCCCCGCTCACCTGCTCCACCATCCCACGGCGGGCGACCATGTTCTGTGTGCACCTCCTGTTGGTCAGCGCACATCATAGCGACCGGTTGTTCCGTTATTCTGCCATTCGGTCTATGCCATTTGCACGTTAAGGTTTTATATAGAGAGATTAGAGGCCCAGGGCATGAAAATTCATGCACTGGAGGGGGGTCCCTTAGCCCGGCCTGCCCCCCTCACAGTCTGGGAGCCCTCAGGGGTGGGAGACGACTCAGTGATCAGACAAAGGTGATGCCCCATCACACCTCTGCTGCTGCCACTGCAGGCAGTGCAGGCCTCAGCCATCCCTGGTTACCTGAGCCTTGATTGGACCTGGGTGGCTGGGAAGTCATCATCCGAGGCTTGCCTATGCCTCGGGCTGGCCCTCAGCAGCTGGGCAGCCAACATCTGAGGCTCGTCTGCACCTCAGGCCAGCCGTGGGCTGCTCGGGGGCTGGGAGGAGTGGAGAACTCCGGAGGCAGGTGTGTGGAGCAGCTGGGCCTGCCTGGGGGCAGGACTAGCCTTGCCACATGCCTGCCACCTCAGCAGGGCTGAGGGGATTGGGCACCACCATCTTTGAGGGCTGGGCAGTCAATTAGCATATTCCCTCCTTATTAAATAGGATGGGTTTTTATTAAATGCTTTTTTTTCATTTATTGACAAAATCATGTGATTTTAATTTTTAATTTTGTTTATGTGATGTATCATGTTTATTGATTTACAAATATTGCACCAACCTTGCATTTCTGGAATAAATTCCATTTGATCAGGTTATATGATCTTTTTAATATATAATGCATAATGCCTTGCTAATATTTTGTTGAAGATTTTAGCATCTATGTTCATTAGGAATGTTGACCTAAAATTTTCTTCCTTTGAGGTGTCTTTATCTGGTTTTGGAATTGGGATAAAGCTGGCATTATAAAAAGAGCTTAGAATTCTTCCCTCCTCTTGAATATTTCGGAATAGTTTGAGAAAGATAGGTGTTAGTTTTTCTTTGAATGTTTGGTAAAATTAACCCATGAAGCCATCTGGTCCAGGACTTTTCTTTGCTGGAAATTTTTGACTAGTCCTTGGATTCCAATTCTCTTGGGTATATACCAAGAAGTAGAATTGCTAGTATCATATCATAATTCTGTTTTTAATTTTTTAAGGAACCACCATACTTTTCCCACAGTGGCTGCACCATTTTACATTTTCACCAACAGTGCACAAAGGTCCTAATGTCTCCAGATTTCACCAACACCTGTTACTTTCTCTGTTTGTTTTTATAGTAGTCATCTTAATGGGTGTGTGACAGTATCTCATTGTGGTTTTGATCTGCATTTCCCTAATGATTAGTGATGTTGAGCATTTATTATGTGCTGCTGGCCATTTGCATATCTTCTTTAAATAAATGTCTATTCAAGTTCTTTGCCAACTTTTAAATAAGGTTGTTTAGTTTTTTTGTTGAGTTGTAGGAGTTCTTTATATATTCTGAATATTAGCCCCTTGTAAAATACATGAGACACAAATATTTTGTAGATGGCCTTTTTATTATGTTGTGTATCCTTTGATTCACAGAAGTTTTTAAGTTTGACATAGTCCAATGTAGATGTTTTTACTTTTTAAAAAATTTTTTTAAAAAATAAATCTTTATTGTTCAGATTATTACAGATGTGATCCTCCACCCCCCCCCCCCCCAATTGCTCCCCTCCACCAGGTTCCCACCCCTCCCTCTGTCCTTTCCCCATTCCCCATTATCCTCATCCATAGGTGCACAGTTTTTGTTCAGTCTCTTCCCGCACCCCCACTCCCTTTTCCCTGAGAATCGTCAGTCCACTCCCCTTCCATACC